CCCACCGGAAAGAGACCCCAACTACAGCCCTTACGAACCCTAGATCTGGAGCTTCCTCCGGGAATCGCAAACCCACCCAGGCCAATCCACCACCACAGCCCCTCCACGCATACTCCGGGGCCTGCAGACGAACACGCCACCACCGCCAGAGGTCCCAGCCAACCCAACACCAAGGGAGGTCGGGAAAGGAGAAAGCCAAAGCTGGACCGCCCCCACAGACATCCATGGACGCCCGCAGCGACCGTCGGACACCACGATAGCGACCCCCGCCTCCTGCTCTCCCGCCATGGCGCTTTGAAACAGAAGCAGAACCATTTCGGGGAAGGAGAGAGAGGTGAAACGCCACCACGACTGCGCCGACAGACCTAGGGTGAGCTCGATGCTCGCCGGAATCACACGAAAATGGGGCCGCCGGAAGGGAGGCTCATCGATTAGAATGATGGCCGAGGGTTACAATTTGGGGATTTTCGTAGAGAGAAAAAGAGGGGGTCACTAGTAAAATATGTTGAATACACCCCCCTTAAAATGATAATATTACGTAAAATATGTAAAATCTCATTCAAATATTCCAAATTTATTAATTTAGAAATTTCGAAAGTAATTTAAATTCTAAAATTTTAAATGAAAATAAGGATAAATTTTATTTTCCATAACGGTCAGTTAAAAATTAATTAAAAAGTATTTTATTCTATTCGCATCATTTGGAAGCATACATTCCTTTTTTCCTTATTGTGTATAGTGTTTTAAATTGATTCAATATCATTTCTTTATAAGAAAAAGCATTGTTTCATTACTTTGGAATTAGTAGCGCGATGCACGGGATGATATATTTTCCTTAAATGTTTAACATGTGTGTTGTTATGTGATTCTTAACAACGATGTAATTTATGATTAAGCGGATAATTGTGAATGATTTGGATGTAAAGCATCTAAGATTTACTCAACAATGGCCCCGGTCCGAGGTGAACCGAGGTGAAGAGCCGTGATGGGCTTTTACGTGTTGCTTAGTAAAGTTTTTTTTGTTCGGAGAGAGATCGAGCGATCCCCGTACAGATGCCATGGGCGCACTATTTATAGTAATTTCGGGTTGATACATTGGGATTTGTGTACTACTTTTTTGACTAAAGTAGCTTTTGGTGGCGGTTCGGAGCAGTGGGTCCCGCATGAATGATGACAAATCTCGTAGAGTGTGATGGGTGTGCGTAGGCGCCTTGTCACCTGCTTAAGGAGGTGACGACCTCGGTTCATGTTGACCTCGGTGGATGTTGACCTCGGTCTTCGGTAGTTCGGTCCGGTCTGTCGCCTGAACCGGGGTGGTGTTGGTAATAACGTCGGTTCAATGATCATCTTCCTTCTAATGCGTCATCTGGAATTTCTTAATGAAGGTTTACCGATCCGGATGTTAACAATGTGCAATATTAAAATTAATATACTTTTTATATATGTAACAAAAATAAACGGGTCGCGGAATATGTACAAAATCATACATTATTGAATAATTCTATGTACAAAATGTTTTTTTATTTTA